TCTCAACCCATGAGGTTTTGTAGCTTTTTCCCTTCTGATTCGCTCCCCCATCCCGTTGGTGGGGGAGTGAGTGAGTGGCTGCATGGTTCTTGGCTGCTGCTGGGGTTAAACCACCACAGATGTTTTGAAGACACTGGGAAATGTAATTGACATGTTTAAATTCTGCTCTGTGTCCCATATGTAGAGCAACAGAGCTCTTGCTGCTGAAGTCAACCACTTTCTGTGCCTTCAATACTTCTTGTTACACTGAAAAGCTTTAATAAACTATAAGGAAATTACTATCTTCAGTCTAACATAAAGCATGCAACAGAAGTTGACAGAGATAATTCCTATAACGATTAAAACATCATTCATTACACTGTTACCCTGTTCTCCAACAGCAACAGCTCTCAAACAAAGTTTGGACTGGCAAGGACACAGCTGAAAAGCTACTGGTTTAGAAACTTCCTCTTCTGTGAGGTTTTGAATTACAGATGAAGAGGTAAAGTAAGAATGGAATCAGAGATGCAATTTTATCAGGGTCAAACAAGTATATATTCATTCCATGCCAAAATATTAATGTAAAAAAATACCTTTCAGCTGCTTATAGGTGTTTCGTTGTTCCTTACCTGTCTGCTGAATGTATTCTGCACGTGCATCCAGTAATCCTCAATGGGATCATAGCAGTATATGGCTTTGGTAAGCCCACCAGCAACGTAGATCAGGTTGTTTAGTGACACAGCCGTAATGCACCTCTTGGCGATAGGGATAGTTGCACGGAGCAACCAGGAATTGGTATCAGGATCATAAGACTGAACCTGAAAACAAAGGCATGCCTGTCAGATTAAAAGCCTAACTGAAATAACAGCCTGGCCAAGAAAATTATGTCGATCTACATACAGGTCCATATACCAATAATGTTTACACAGGGACTATAGTCAACATTATTTTCCTAACACTCAGGCTTAAAAATTCACAGACTTGTGAAGCCAATAACACTATCCATGAGAAAGACAACAGTAGCAGTGTATCATTGAGTTAATGTTTTCTACTCTGCATGTTTTGTATTCCACACTCCATTCAGCAAAGCAGTTAAACCAAACCTCTGTACGATGTGGCTGTAAAGCAGCAGTACGGTTTGCTGTGGGTAGAAGATGCAATCAGAAAGAGTTAGCTAACCTTGTCAGAACACGTGTTGTCGTCAGGACCACCCCCGATCACAAAGAGCTTGCCCACACAGCTGGTGACTGCTGGAGAGCTCACAGCTTCTTTAAGGGGAGCCACCTCTGTCCAGCGGTTAGAAAAGGAGTCGTAACACTCCACACTGCTCAGGCGGTTCTGCCCGTCGTATCCGCCGACGACGTACACCTACGCAACGTCGGGAAAACTACCATCACTGCATGTTTAGAGGAGGCATTACATTTAAACAGGAAATTAAATTAGCTTCAAGCTAAATTTCTAGGTCTGTTTAGGCATCTTTTCCTCAAATTTTAAATTTATACACAGGAGGAGAAGAATATGGTCTAAAAAGAGCAGGTAAAGGCTCCCTGGAGAGTTCCATTCAGTCACATGTGGAATGGCACTGCAAACAGATGCCAAAGCACAGTATTATTAATACTGTGATAGAAACTTCCTATTTGAATGGCATTTGTTAGAAAAGGCACCTCTCTGCACTTCTCTTTTTTTTAGTTAACATTCAACAACAGCAGCAGTAGCAAAAGTCCACCTGAATTTACCTTTGCTTTTTGGTGTTGTGCTTTTCCCCTACTTGCTTACAGAAATGTTTCCTCTCCGTTTGTAAACTCTGTTACTGTCCTTTCTCTCATATTTAAGAAGCAGAGCTCTTTATTTGTGCCTACCTTCTTCCCTATGTTTGCTCAGCTGCAAGTTTCATCTCCAGGAAGTCCAAGGGACACCACATGCACATCTTTCCTAACCATCATTACCAGTATCCCCACAGGCAGTTGATCCCAACTACTGGTTTCATGTTCAGGCCTATATGCCTTCAAAATACAGTAAAACTTCTCATTTCCATACTGCATGTGTTTGCTTAATTTCAGTATAAAACATGAAACAGACAATCAGAGCAGTACCAGTTTCTGTTAATAAATGCATACACTTTTAGACCTTTGACAGCACTTGTAAAGGACAGGCAAATTCAGATTCTTTTTTGCTTCCCAAAAAATTGCTTCTTATTGATCAAAAAAATCCCAAAAAATATATGACTGAGCAGTAAGACAATTTTCATGTCCAAAGGTAGTGCCTGACAGATAAAGAGCCTAAGTGTTTAAAATATTCATTTGAAAGTATGTATTTTTAAAATTATTTGATATGAAATACAAAGCAATACTCAAGTGCTTTCTCCACTGTTTTCATATACACAGCAAACATCCCGCTATAAAAAAAATTAAAATATACTTCTCTTACTTTACCAAGAAGAACAGCCATTTTATGTCTCCATCTGCCTTTATTTAAGGAGGCAACTCTGATCCAAATGTTAAGTTGGGAATTATAAATCCAGACATCGCGGCTATTGATCCTTCCACCTTGAGAAACAAAACCACGACAATTTGAATAAGTCATTGAAAGAGAAACACTAACTATTAACATGCACCTCTACAGTGGGCAATGAAAACTTTGTATCTGGTTTTGGGTGAAATAAGGATCTCCCTGTATTTATATGTCAGACTGAAAAAGTAATCTCCAGTGGACTTACATGAGAACACACAGTAAGTTATTTTCCTTATGCCTGCCTTTCCCACTAACACCCTGAGATCACATCAGATTTTTTGCTGAAGTTGGAATGCATTTTAATGGCTTTTGCCCATATTCTTCAGACTTCCTGCAGTGTCACTACCTGGACGAAACACTCTAAATCTTACCTGCCATTGTGCCTTATGGCAGATCCCTAATACCCACTATTCCTCTGCTTGGTCTGTGCATACATCTTCATTTTGCACTTTGTTCAAATGACACAGGCACTACACACCTGAGGAGACAATTTCTTTGGTTAAACTAACAGACCTTGGTGTCTAAACCACCAGCTATATTCTGTAATTCTCCGTTGCCACAGGACTGAATATGCTGCTGGGAAAAGCCTGCTTGGGACTTCTGCTTGTAGTCTTCCCAGCTGTTGCTGCAAACAGGCTACTGCTCTATTTGACAGCAGTGTACTTAACAAGCATAAGCTGGCCACTTTAAATACAACTGATATCCTGGATCAGCTTTAAAAATCTACCAATTCATGCCAAACAAAAACTCCAGAAAACACTTTTGTTTACAGTAAGATTGCTCTGGGGCTGGTGTTTACCATTTACATCCGAAAGTGGCTTTCAGCTGAGCTTCTGGAAGTTCACAGTACAATGATGTGCCACACTACTTAAAACGCAAGGCAAAAGCAAACCACAACCCACTCCCAACCAAAAAACCCCAAAACAAAAAGAGAACAACCAGTAAAGGAACAAAGATTGAATATCTCTAGGATTATTCACCTGAAACAAGAATATCATTCCGCAGAGCACACACGGCATACTCAGACTTGGTAAACTCTGGAAGTTTAGCCAGTGACTTCCACTCTCCTGTTACGGGATCGTAGCACTCCGTGTATGGCAGATTAAACCCTCCAACTCGTTCACAGCCTCCAACAACAACTATCACCTCAGAATAACCAGTTGATCTACAAAAGTGAACACAGAAAACTAAGATGTAGGAGGTATTTATTAGTAAATCAAGGCCAAACAATATTGTCTTCAAAACTGTGAAAATCAGAGAATTTACTATTTATTGTTAACTTCTACAACAAAGAAAAAAGAAAGAATCATTTAACGCACACTTAGAGGTTTTCACTGTTTCCAGCTGTCTCACTACCCAGTGGGATACATCGAAAGGTGCTCTAACTGGTGAAGTTGCACTGCACAACATTCTATGTAAAAATCAAATCATTAAATACCACAGAAAGCCTTTAATAATATTTTTCCTTTGACTGTGTACATAGAAAGATCAGGATGAGAGTTCAAGCAAGGCCTGAGACAATGAGATGAGTTGTTTCACAATGAAACCAAGTCCTCATGGCCCCCCTGAGTTTTACAAAATTAACAATACTTTACATTGCTTAAATATTCAAAGGGTTTAAAAGCTGAGGAAACATAGTCACTAAAATAAGTGAAAAGAAAGAGTCCTTAGAGCCAATGCACAGTAAAGCAAAAAACAGGAATAGTGACAGGAGGAAACATTAAGGAATGCTGAAATAAAAATTCAAAGCTAAAACAAAAACTGAAACTCAGTGTGAAAAAATTAATTTAGATAGTCTGCAATATACACAAATAGGCCTGTAAGTTCTATTCCACACACTCATTCTCCTTCTAACCAGATGCTACTGCACTACAGATATTCTGTATTCACAGAATCATAGAATCAATCAGGTTGGAAGAGACCTCAAGGATCATTGAGTCCAACCCTACCGTCGTTACTAGCCCATGGCACTAAGTGCCCCACCCAGTCTCAACTTGAAAACCTCCAGGGATGGTGAATCCACCACCTCCCTGGGCAGCACATTCCAGTGTCTGAGCACTTTGCATAAAAAACCTCTTCCTGATATCCACCCTAACCCTCCCCTGGCAGAGCTTGAGTCTGTGCCCTCTTGTCCTGCTGCTGGTTGCCTGGGAGAAGAGACCAACCCCCACCTGACTCCAACCTCCTGTCAGGGAGTTGCAGAGGATGGTAAGGTCACCCTTGAGCCTCCTCCAGGCTAAACAATTCCAGCTCCCTCAGCCTCTCCTCATGGCACTTAGTGCTTGACTCCCTTCACCAGCCTCATTGCTCTTCTCTGGACCTGCTCCAGCACTGAGGGGCCCAGAACCGCACACAGTGCTCAAGGTGTGGCCTCACCAGTGCTGAGTGCAGGGGCAGAATCACCTCCTGGTCCCGCTGACCACACTGTTCCTGATCCAGGCCAGGATGCCATTGGCCTT